ACAAATCTAAATGTCTTTTTCTCCAAAATATGTGTCAGAATGCACAAAATCAATTCATTTTTTCTAAAAAAATTGGAGAAAACCCTCTAAGACTATGACACCACCATAGAGTAGCCAAAATTTGAATTCAGCCTCAACAGTAAGTTGAGTCAGTGGCGGCGCCACTAATGCCCGTTTCCGATTTACCCCTTTTTATGCTGCCCCTGGTTCGTTTCACCCCTGTCCCGTTTCACCACTGTCCCGTTTCACCCCTGTCCCGTTCTGCCAATTTCCCATTTTGCCCCTTATTCACATCTCGACTTTGAAACGGAAGTAAGCAACCGTCAAACATTTACATAACATAGTGAAATTATTGAATACAAGACTTAAAGTGATAGTACGTCTTAGAATGAACATAAAATTTAATTCTCAAGAATTGTCAATATGAGTATATATTCATCAGTGAACTTACCTGGTGTTATAAAGTTACAACAGAATCCCTGTAAAATCTAGAAAATTGGAAATGTATAAAACTTAGTAATTACTAATTAATAAAAAAAACCGCTTAATCATAATATTAAGCGTTTTTCAATAGTTGATTGCTTTTTTATTAAGTTTTTTGGATTTATCAGATTATATAAGGATCCTGTTATGTTATTTATGACACCAGGTATATATACTCATGAACATAATATGCTCTTATTGGCCAAGTTTAAAATTTTATGTTTATTCTAAGACGTAGTATCCCATTAATTTTGTTTGTGGTTTGGAAATTTTGCCGAGGCAGCTACATTCCAGTTTACTCTTTATGAAATCTCTACTTCCACATTGCCACGGGAAAATCTGGAAAACAATAGCGAAGGAGTCGTTATGAGAAAGGGGCTTCCATCGATGTCTTGCTCATACATATGTATGTAGTATCGACCGTATATACATTCTTGTTAGCTGTGACATAGACATACTGTTATTATATACTGTTAAAGCATTTGTTACTAAAATTAGCAACTCGACCGACCCAGATAATGCAGGCCAGTGAATTGTGATGGGAAAACTGCAAAGATTTTAGTCGACCTTGTGTTGTTGTGAAATTAGGGCGGCCTTGGTGTTATCGTTTAACTTTGAACATCGATAAGGAACTGAATAAAGCTCAGTAACTGGCGTATATTGATTAGACCTACTTGATCGTGTTCAACAGACCAGTGGCGTATATAAACCATTATTATATTGTGTTCTGTAGGCGAGAATCACAAACGTGTTATTTTCTATCATAATGACCGAGAAAGTTGAAGTCGTCGTGAAACACGCAGCCAAAACTGTTGGAGAGGGACCACATTGGGTGGACAAGACACAGAGCTTATTGTATGTGGATATTTTCTCGAACGATTTGCACCATTGGAATCCTGCTACTAACAAAACGTCCAGCTTGCACTTCGATGAGTATGTTACATTGGTAGTTCCAACCGAGAAGGATGACGAATACATCATTTCACAGGGCAGCAAATTAGCTAAATTACAATGGAGCAGCAAGAAGGTAGAGGTCCTCCATGAAGCAGGGGCTGGTGTCCGGTATAATGACGGGAAATGTGATCCCCGTGGAAGACTGTTGGCTGGAACCATGGGATTAGAAACAGCACCTGCTGTTTTGCCACCTGGCATGGGAAATTTGTACAGTCTGGATATTCAAGGAAAAGTTACCAAGCTAGCCTCGAATATTACGTTGTCAAATGGCTTAGCTTGGACTGCTGATACTAAAAAATTCTATTTCATCGATTCCACTCCACGAAAAGTGTACCTATTTGATTATAATGCGGATAATGGACAAGCAACTAATCAACGCACAGTGATCGATTTTGCAGATTATGACGATCTTGGTTTACCAGATGGAATGGCCATAGACACCGAGGACAAGATATGGATCGCATGTTACAGTGCCGGCAAGGTTGTTCGTTTCGATCCAGAAACCAAGAAGCTTTTGAAGGTGGTCAAGATTGACGCCAAGCAAACCACGTCCGTTTGTTTCGGAGGACCCAATCTAGATGAACTGTATGTAACGTCAGCTGCAATGGGTCTGACCGAGGAAGAGTTAAAAGCTAAAGATCCCCTTGCCGGGTCAATATTTAAAGTGACTGGTTTAGGAGTTAAGGGTTATCCTGCAGTGAACTATAAAGGTTAAAGTGGGTTGCGAATGATTTTATAAAAAAAAATAATGCTAATGTCAAAATATGCCAAATGGGTTGAACTTTTTCATATAAAAAATATAACGGAGGAACGTTGCTGAAAACGTTTAAAGATTTTTCTGCAAACCTTCTTGGCTTGAGAATGATACACATGATTTGAGAGATTCTTTGGGAATATCCTAACTATACTAATATATGCAAACATGGTCTGAACCGTCTGTGGTTAGTATTGCTTTTATTACAGCCAATCAGACGTTTCAAATAGATTATTAAATAGTTTGAAATTAGTAAGGGTGAGAGTCGGCGCTGGGTCGACTCTCGGAAGCACTGGCACAGGCATCAGAATTTTTCTTACCTTGAGATGGACCCGAATCCACGGAACCTAAAGCAGGCGACAATCCAACAGTTTGACAACAGTCTTTCGGGTCGTTCACTGGTTGGGAGCCAGGGCGGATTTTATACCGAGGTATTTGGACAAACACGGCACCCCCGCCCTTTCCCTATATTACTGAAATGGTTTTTGCTTCACATTGTTAATAATACAACTGACGATGTTCAATATGCCGTATTGTTTTGTTTACAGTTATAATAAATATTTAAACAGAATGAAAGTGTTTCTAATACAGTGAAACCCCTCTAAACCGACAGGATAACAGAGTTACATCCCTTTATAACTTAATCCATTAACTTAATCCATTAACTTAATCCATAACATGGTTCTTCTTGATCCTTGAACCAAATGATGTTGATCCTTGTTCTTAGTCTTGTCGACTCTAAAACAATATTCTGCTCTGTAAAATGTTTATGTCGATCCTTGCACCTTATTATGTCTATCCTTGAACTTAATAGTGTCGATCCTTGAACCTAATCATGTCGATCCTTGAACCTAATCATGTTCCTTGGGCCTAATCATGTCGATCATTGAACCTTATCATGTCAGTCCTTGAACCTAATCATATTGATCCTTGAACCTAATCATGTCGATCCTTGAGCCTAATCTTGTCGATTCTGAACCTTATTACGATCCTTAAACCTTATCGTGTCAAACCTTGAAGCTAATCTTGTCGATCCTTGAAGCTAATCTTGTCGATTATTGAGACTTATCTTGTCGATCCTTGAACCTAATCATGTCGATCCTTGAACCTAATCATTTCGATCCTAGAACCTAACCATGTCGATCCTTGAACATATTCTTGTCGATTCTTGAACCTAATCTTGTCGATTCTTGATCCTAATCATGTCGATTCTTGAACCTTATCGTGTCAATCCTTCAACCTAATGTTTTGTTATAGTGGAAGTGCAGGCAATTGACAGTCTCATTGAAAATTGAAATGGTGAAAATCGATGTTCTTTACAATCCCTTTAAGCATACAGTCTCAAAATCTAAAGAGAATATCTTTATCTTTCTCGAAATGGGATTTCTGGCTCCTTTTTTTAGGCTGGTCCTTTGGACACCCACTTTCCGTACCATTACATGTTTAGAAAGAATTTCTTGTTTCTCTCGATAATTTAGTGCATGTCCTAATCCATGATTATAATGGAAGTGCATCAGTGCCAAAATTCGATGCTAAGTAGAAATGTACAATTCATTAATGTAGATAATACAGGTATTTTGTGTTATAAGTTAAAAGTTGCCCGTAAAAATACCAGTAATGCATAAGACATTCATATGTTTCATGTTAATCGATTATTGATTGGTAGCATATAATTGATCTCATTTTGGTACTGATCTAATTTTGGTACTGATCTTATTTTGGTACTGATCTCATATTGGTACTGATCTCATTTTGGTACAGATCTTATTTTGGAACTGATCTTATTTTGGTACTGAACTCAGGAACTGATCTCATTTTGGTACTGATCTTATTTTGGTACTGATCTCATTTTAGAACTGGTCTCATTTTGTTACTGATCTCATTTTGTTACCGATCTCATTTGGTAATGATCTCATTTTGTTACTGATCTCATTTCTGTACTGATCTCATTTTAGAACTGGTCTCATTTTGGTACTATCTTATTTTGTTACTGATCTCATTTTTTGTACTGATCTCATTTTAGAACTGGTCTCATTTTGGTACTGATCTCATTTTGGTACTGATCTAATTTTGTTACTGATCTCATTTCTGTACTGATCTCATTTTGAACTGGTCTCATTTTGGTACTGATCTCATTTTGTTACTGATCTCATTTTTTGTACTGATCTCATTTTGTTACTGATCTCATTTTGTTACTGATCTTATTTTGGTACTGATCTTATTTTGTTACTGATCTCATGTTGTTACTGATCTCATTTTGGTACTGATCTTATTTTGGTACTGATCTCATTTTGGTACTGATCTTATTTTGTTACTGATCTTATTTTGGCACCGATCTTATTTTGGTACTGATCTCATTTTGGTACTGATCTTATTTTGGTACTGATCTCATTTTGTTACTGATCTTATTTTGGTACTGATCTTATTTTGGTACTGATCTCATTTTGGTACTGATCTTATTTTGTGACTGATCTTATTTTGGTACTGATCTTATTTTGGTACTGATCTCATTTTGGTACTGATCTTATTGGGGTACTGATCTCATTTTGGTACTGATCTTATTTTGGTACTGAACTCAGGAACTGATCTCATTTTGGTACTGATCTTATTTTGGTACTGATCTCATTTTGGTACTGATCTCATTTTGGTACTGATCTCATTTTTGTACTGATCTCATTTTGATACTGATCTCATTTTGGTACTGATCTCATTTTGGTACTGATCTCATTTTGATACTGATCATATTTTGGTACTGATCTCATTTTGGTACTGATCTCATTTTGTTACTGATCTCATTTTGGAACTCTAAACTCAGCCTTACCCATGACCCAAGGCAATTGTTTTACAGAAAATGTTGTAGGCCATCAAAATAATAAATCAATAAAATTATCTGTTTAATAAACAATTCATAGATCTACTAACCAACAAAACATAATACATCACGAAAATAGGAGACATCTCTTTTATCATCAGTTACAATATCTCAATATTACTGTGTTAAATTTATTGATTGACTTACCAACTAAAAGCGATCCAAAGGATCACTAGTATGATTCTAAGACAGTGGCGGTGCCTGAGGGGGTATAGGTTGGTCATTTGCCCCCCTAGCATAATGGTTTGCACCCCAAATTGTACCCCCACTTTATTTTAACAAATTTTAAAATATGATTTTCATACATTTTTGAGCCAGATTATGTGTCAGAATGGATCAAATTAATTCAATTTTTCTAAAATTTTCTTGGGAGAACCCTTTCAGACATTCCATGAGAGGCTTGCGACTATGACATCAACACAGCAATTTTGAATACAGTCCGGACAGTTGTCCCCCATTGAGTCAGACTGTGATCTATTTGTACCCCTAGTCTGGGGAGGTTGGCACTGCCACTGTTCTAAGAGACGTAAGTATTTCATTTCCATTGAATATCACAAATCTGTGCTATATGATCTGAAGGAGCTACTATACTAGGTAGGGCAATATGAGCTGTAATGTCCCCGTGGTCTGGTTGAGGGATTATCTGAGTGACTCTCAAGTTATTAGAGTCTATAAAGATATAATCTAATTGTTCATGAAAACCAGTGGTATAATTAGTATAATCACAATATCCACAACCACTCTCTATATTTAAACTATGGTGAAGTTCTAATGTTGTTAATTTCTCTTCTACTCCATCTGATATGAAAATGAAATTAAATTAAATTTAAATGAAACTAAACAAGTGGTTGCCTAGCAAGATACGCCCACTTTCCTGATACATTTTCAGTATATCAAGGGCAGTCACCTATCTGTGTTAAATCATACCAAAAATCTAATTTGTGCAAGATATTTAAACAAACACACATTATTTAATAAAATTCTGACATAAACTGTCACCTCTAACACGTTCACAAGTCAACAAATTTGATGCGTTGTTACTAAGTCAAGGGCAATAACTAAAAAACCGTTCATCAACAGATCGTCAAATTCCAGCTTGTCCAAGATCTCATCAATATAAATATTCACACTAAATTTCATTTAAATCAGATGAAAACTGTTGTCTCCATTGTGTTCACAAGCAAATTGTGGACGAATGAACGGACCGAAAGGGGCGATGACAATATACGACCACATTATAATGTGATAAAAGATAACAGTTTGTTTGACAATATATTGGTAGCAGTAAATGAAATTTCAGGAAGTAACAGTATATTAATTATAAATGAGGAAGTATTTCATAAATGAAAAGGGATATCAGGTGTCTTCAAGAGTAAGCATACCCTTCTTGGCACTTTTGACATTTGTCAAGTATATTGGACTGTTGCTATGTAAATGCCTGACAGACTAACATAATAAATGTTATACTGCCATTTCAGTGCAAAACAGCTGCCACTTGACAGACAAATCTTCAAAAAGTGAGAACTTACTGGAATTCCACAGATGATAATCAGAAGGAATATGTTGAGTTGTCATGAAAGTATTAACACCAGACTTTGGACAGCTGTTAAAATCACCACAGAATATAAACGATACTCTCTTATGGCCCTGAAAAACATATAATAATAAAACAATTATAAACTTAAAGATTGTTAAGAGGTTTTATATAATTTTCATGTGTATCAGGGCCTCTGATAACATCAATTCTCACCATTCCAATTTTCAATCAACCGTTTGCAGTTCCTGTAATTACAGAAATGCCTAACTGTTTAAATCACTACAACAAGTCATAAAATACTTTGACTGACAAAAGTCAGATGGTAAATCAAAATGATGCAAATAGTAGCTGTAAATGTACTCAATACACTTACCAAGACTTAAAAACCTCTTTACTAAAGAACCTTCCAGAAAAAGTTCCTGCTTCGTTTGGTTGCCAAAATAGTTTTGGTTCAGTGAGTCAATTTTATTCATAGTCGAGTTCATCAAGATCCATCGTGATCATTTGCATTGAAAGCGCTGAGTCATATTATTTTTCCTATGTGATAATCAAGACTTCAGTAGAATAGGTGCGTTCATCGATGCTTCAGTAAAATCCCTGGTTACTCTCTCGAATGCTTTTTTCTCAGTTTATTGATACAATTGTCAAGCAAAATAAATATATAGTTTTCGAAAATAACAATTTTGCTTATTGATATTCACTATGACTCAATTCAATTCAACTTCCGGGATCAAAAATATTACATGCCGATCGAGAGAAAAAATATTACATGCCGATCGAGAGAATACCAAGTCACAATGTACGGTATGAAAAAGAAAGCTTATCCAGTCTCTCTCATTGATGTTTCTTTGGGTTTCAGTATATTTGAAACCATTTTGACAGTAGAATTAAGTCCGGTGCACACTCGAGCCATCAGATCAGTCAGAATTCATCGTGGACTTCTCCTTAAGTTTCCATGTACAGGTAAATTTACAGTCATTTGTCACAAGTCACAGATTTTAGTCATTTGGGGTGAAAAGTTGAAAATCACACAAGTTTGATAATATTTTCTACGAATGAACAAATGCTTGTGTGTGCGCATAACTAAAACTATCTGCTTAGGGAAAATTTATCTATGCATGCGTAGTTACCTGACCATTCAATTGTAGCGTGACCACTCACTGTTAACTGCTCGATGTAAATCTTGTCGACATTTGGCCTGAATAATATCTGTCTTTACGATGTAAGATCTAATGAATTCAAAATATGAAGAGAAGTAACGCTGCAAAGAGCCTAAAAACTTAATCAAACAGATACAGTTGCCACAATTTGCTCTCTCTTGACAACCATTACAGCATGGTAACAGTGTTAATAGTAACATTTCTTTGACTTCTGAAGACGAAGAATTACTACCCATCAAATTCAATTCCATGGGCGTGGCCATTCTGAATGGTCAAGTAAATACGCATGTGTAGATAAATTTACCTCTAAGGCCATACAAAGTAAAAAGTCTGTTTTACAGGCCTTTTTTTTTAAATTGGGGCGAGAGGGCAAATTTATTATTTATCAGCGCTTTTTTAGATTTTCAACTGGGAAAAATCGGAGATAACAATTCTACTTTCTAATAAGTATGATAAAATGGATTGTGAAATTCCCTCTTTAAAGTTAGGTTTTCTTATCATTCTTGGACAAATCATGCTTAATGTTTGATTAATTGATGTTTGTAATGATATCCAAAGATATCTACCACTTCTGACAATGATGCACTTAGGGTGCATTCTTGTAGACTATCTTGTTTTGGTCTAACGTATGCAGAACTGGAAATAATTATCAGGATTAATGTTTTGATTGTCAACATAAAATGTGTCAACAATTTGTTTAATTGTGCTTCCTTCAGCAAATAAATGTATTTTCCAATGGTTAATTATCAAAATCAACATCACTTTTAAATGATATGAATAGAACCATGGCTTTTAGCGGTGATTTTTAACTTTGATGAGAATTATTAAATCTTAAAAAAACGTGTTCTGAACTACTTCTGGTTTTACGAAAATAACTCAAAATGTAGAGTTCAAGATGCAACTAAGGTCATTTTAGCAGACGAATTATTTAGGCTGTGCTCTTTGAGTGTCTTGATAATCGAGCTGTGTTCTCTTAGTGTCTTATTAATAGAGTCTACCGGAAATGGACAAGCGCACGGGGTACATTATTAGTGAACGCATGGTTGCAAGGTGTGGACTGGAAATAATTTTTCACCGTCGTTCATACGTCGTGGTCTTAAATTGTGATAGATATGAATGTATATTTTGTGAACTTTGTGAATTTGTGAACTCTCTATTATGTACCATTAATCTGAGAATATAGAACAGTATATATTTTATCTATGTGTTGTGAATGACGCGTTCAAAACCTCTCTACGTTTTGAATACAGAACTTTATACGTGAACGTGACTGAGGTGTGAATATGAGTGAATCAAGTGAAACAACTCCACCGCCAGTTCTTCAGAGAATTGAAAATCCGAACAATGACAGTCAAAATGTCAGTGAAAATGGTGAACACGTGGACAGTGAAACTTTCTCAACGGAAGCCGGTGAAAATAATGATGAAAGCGTCCCACATGGGGCCGGTGTAAACTTGCCTGCACCACAGAACATTTTAAATCAAAGTGACAATTTGCCAATAATTAATCCTGAGGATAGTGCCTCGAATGTTGGGAAAAGGTCAAATCTGTCAAAGACAAGCCGTACATCCTCGACATCAGTTATGAAATTGAGAAACAAACAGAGAGAAATAGAGTTAAAATTGGAATTAGCAGCTTTACAAGAATCAAACTGTTTAGAAGAAGACAGATTAAAGATTGCCAGAATGGTTGAAGAAGAAAAAATGAAGATTGCCAGAATGGTTGAAGAAGAAAAAATGAAGATTGCCAGAAGGGCTGAAGAAGAAAAAATGAAGATTGCCAGAATGGTTGAAGAAGACAGATTAAAGATTGCCAGAATGGTTGAAGAAGACAGATTAAAGATTGCCAGAATGGTTGAAGAAGAAAAAATGAAGATTGCCAGAATGGTTGAAGAAGAAAAAATGAAGATTGCCAGAATGGTTGAAGAAGAAAAAATGAAGAT